AGAACTTCAAGGAAATGTGCAGAAATTCATACCTGTGGCGTGTTGAGCTGTTGAATATTTTCATAAGAATGATCATACTGAATTCTTGGGTGTTTACGATAATTTTCGAGAATTCTGGTATCTTTTTAGATTTTTTTGAAGAGCTTTGAACTCTTGGACAGTCTATTGAGTTCGCTCTTCTTTTTTTTCTTCCTTTGTTCGGGACTTAACACTACTGCGACCAGTAATTTGATCTATTGTAGTATATCCCGTGTCCTTAGTTTAGTGCATGTCATATTACTCCATCACTATTGAGAAACGATGAAGTATTCGGTTTTGATACAGTTGTCATTATTGCCTTCATCGCAAGGAATCGATTCTAATTGAAAGGTCCCGCTATTTATACCCTTCGGAATTGGAACACCCTCCAAAGGCGCACCCCTTTGTCAGTCAAAATTGGATTCCTTAGCAACAAAAATAAGAAATGACACCGATAATGACCATGCATCAGAACCCTAGTCTTTACCACTTCAAACTAGGGAACCTCGAATAGAAGATTAGGAATCACATAGATAAAGACTAACTAGCTCATTTTTCCTTGTTTCAAGATCATCCTCGGTTCAGGCAACCCGAAGACTTATCACTATCAACAAGGTATAAAAAGTAGCAAGGACTTAGATGTGTTCCTTTTATTACTGAAAAATCCTGTTCCTCTAGTTTGAAGTAGTCAAGACTAGGAATCGGTGGTAGATCTTACATCCCGTAAATGTTTTTTTTTTCCTTTGGTTTGTTTTTTCCGTCGATCTTGTTTTCCGTGCTGAGCACCAATGCTACCGACGTGCCAGGAAGGCAGCTCTCCCACACCTGGACCATACCTATCGACCCATCAACTCATGAACCGGGGACCAACGGCTTTACTTCCCATCCGAAGGAAGGCGTGATCAGAGATGTTATGCCTCAGAACATCCCGGCGGCGCCAACTGGGATTGAACCCAGGCCTGCTGGGGTGAGAGATAATCACGCTTACCACTACACCACCGGTGCCGTTGATACATACACCCAGTTACTTTTCAAAACAAGTTCTTTCGCAGTTCTTCAAAAAATCATTTCGCTGAAGAACTAGCTATCCGAAAATTGCGAACGAAATTAGAATAAAAATTCCCGAACGAGATGTGCGAAACAGTTCAGCAAACGATTCCGAAAGAGAATACCGTTTTTGGTTTTTCAACCTATTTAAAAAAAATCGAGAAACTAGCTAGCTGAGGATCTTGTCTCCTATGTCATGTTTCGTCGCGGAGTTGAATGAAGTTATCTCGCTTAATTTCTGCCACTCTGTTGATGTTTTCTTTTTCTAGATTATGTGATATGATATTTACGTTGCATATGATACCAATAAACCAATAAAAAAGTTCATGAGTCATAGTTCGCGGTAGATTTCAACACATATCGGGAACGAAAAGTTGTGCAAGGAAGCTAGAGCAAAACATATCTTTTAACATACGCTCTCTCAAAGTGGGGGTGATATTAGTTCTTCTCAATCGCAAATAAAAAATTTCGCTCGGGAAATACCACTTTGCCAAATTTTCATCGGTAATTTCCCTAGTGAAAACATCTCGCTTGCGCTAATGAACTTTTGGCGATACTTCTAACACTGATTACACCATAAGACAATAGAGTCAACCAAAATGAAGAACTTAATAGAGTTCTTTAATGTCCTCCACCCATAACAAATCAAAATGCTCTCACATAACCATTAACAAGTGTAAAATTCTGAATTGACTTAATTTTTTTAAGTTTGGAATATTGAACATTCTCCGTTTTGCAACAAACTTTCGGCCTGCTATTTTTCAAGACTCCATGAAAAGTTTACAGCAAGTATTTTTTACGTTGCAGATGAGCTTATATTAGAATTTATGATTTGTATTACACTGCAACAACACCGCAACGGTTTGTCAATATATCTGCACCATTACGTATTCGATGGTATCCTTTTTCCAGTTATGTTGGAAATAAGTAGCAAATGCGTAGATTGAAAAATCATAGAATTAGTTGAGTATGTGCGTGCTTTAAGCGTCACTTTAGACAACGAGTGGTAGCGACATCGGTGCAGTTCCTCCGTCAGCAGCCATAAGGTTTCGGCATTATGAACCACTAGTTCTGGAAATTCGCCCGCTATTTGGTGCCGTTTCCAGTTCGTCACCAGTTTTGCCGGCAAATACGCACTCCATCTCTAACGGATCCTCCGTTCAGCGGTATCCACTCGACATCGGCATCAAAAACTGACAACATGTTTGCTGCCCCCAGCTCCAGCAACAATCAATCCAACGTCACATCAGGCTTCTCACCGTTCTATTAAGCCCTTTGGAACACCATTTCCTCGTCGTGTTCCATTTCCTATGCAGATGTTAGCACATGCATTATGATTTCTCCGCTTTTGTCAACGACTTTCCTGGGCATAGGGTATAATTGTACTTGCCAGACAATTATACTGATGCAAAAATGGTACCGGCATCGAAAGCTCTAAATTAATAACTGTGGAAGTGCATGTAGAACACTAAGTTGAGATCACGCAATACAAGAAGCATGGAGATGAAAACTTCCACCTAACACAGCTCCTGTCTGGACATGGTTGCTTCCGGAAGTACCTGTATCGATTCGAACACGCAACGTCATCCCACTCTCCTGTGAAAATGTGGATGAATCGACGAAGCCTGTGGTCTTTGACTGTCCTCGATTTGTGGCAGTGCGAATCTGCCCATAGAATGTTGTCAATCTGACAATAGCAAAATGAGAAGGTGCAACGCGATCACTGGCATGAAAACCATAGCTCGGCAATAGAGGAAATGCTTCGGCTTATAAGGGAAAACCGCGTAAAACGGCTGGATTAAAAAAAACAACGTAAACTGATTCCAGTGTAGTTATACCATACTACATAAATGTAGGTGTGATAATTATACTTCTACATAATTCAGTACTGCTCGATTAGTTCTACTTTTTACAGTTTAAATAGATTCCCGAAATTCTGTCCGCCCGACTAACGGGTGTTCAATAAAAAATGAGAATGATTTCAGTGCCGTCCAGCGCTCTTGTGAGAGCAACGCGACTAAGTTGCGTCGTAAAGACTGACCAGGGCCCCTTCTCCAATATTTATTGACGTTTTTTTGAAGAATAAACATTATGTTTTTAATAAAAATACTGAATTCGTTGAAAAAAAATTTTTTTTACTAGCTGTATGACTGAAAAAATTCTCATTTTTATTGAACACCCGTTATAATTATAGCGACTATAGAGCTCATGCTCGCATTTCTTCGATTTAGATGGCGCACTAGTGTGCGCTGATTAAATGTCAAAAGATTGAACTTATTCGGAGAGAATAAAAAACACGATGTTATAAACTTTTGTTCGGTACATTAAGAGAACATGTGCAAGTCTCCATACTTATTTTTTTTAAGAATACTTAATTTTTTGAATCACTTTTTGCTCATAAAAGGTGTGCTGTTTAAAATCCGCACACACAAAATTTATTCTCAAAATTCGAGTGCTATCCGATTATCACCAAATTTTCAGGGAGTAAAAAGAAACAATTAAAGATAGTTTTGGCATCATTCATTTAATTTATTTTATCTCTCTAATAAAGCAAAAAAAAATTATTTTGCCTTTATATCCGAATGCGCGAAACTTGGCCTTAACCCCAACCACAAGGGGTTCAGATTTTTCGGCACGAAATCGACATCATTCACCTTATACCACTCTAGCACGTCCTTCGTGTAGTGGTATGATATAAAATCCGGCCAGAAGAGAAGCCGCTTTTGGAGACACTCTTCCAAATACACTCCGCTTTCCTTACAAATCGCTTGCCAAATTAAGAACTTCTTGGCGAACTTGAAAATCTTCTGTGTCTGGAGGTTCTCGGGAACATCACACTTATCCTTGGCAGTCACATACAGGTTTGGTCTGGTTGAAATCCGCCTTCACATATGCTCGTCATCCTTTACGCAGCAATGTGGTTTCGTTAACTTCTGGTCCTAAAACTTCCGGGCACGGCTTTTTACGATCGTATTCTGTTTCTCGTCACGATTTGGGGACTTCTGAACCTTAAACGTACGTAGTCCAGCTCGAGTTTTGGTATTCTGCATGAAAGTCTTGCTCACAAGCAACTTTTTAACCTCATCTCAAACTGGGGCGTTTGGTTTCCGTTTAAAGGCCCCAACCACGCGTTTGTGATCGTTCTCGTTGACCTGACGGCTTTTTCCAGATCCTCGCTTCCTATCAACAGTCAGACGTTATTCGAACCGTTTTATGATATCATAACCGTGGAATTCCCGATTCCCAACTTTTTTTCGATGGCACGATGCGACAGATCCTTATTCTCAAAGTACTCGTGCAAAACTTTTTCGCGCACTGTTCTTTCGACGCCATTTTGAAAACTTTTTTGCACCTGATAAAATAAACTCATAGAGTGAAAACAATACACATTAAACTATGTCTACGCAAAATTTCAATTAATTTTACCAACGGATCAAAAGTTAAAGCAATTTGAGTGTGTGTCCCCATTCGTTGCTTTCCCTTTTGCTCTTATGGAGAATGACGAATAAAAGCGTAGTAAGAAATTAGTTTAACCTTGCACCTAACACTGATTTATTTGTCTTTGCTTTATCCATCACCGTAGGGTTGCTGTTTAGAGTGTAACAGTAATAGATCGTTGTTTTCGTGCAAACGAATCAATCATTTGTCCAAACCTGTTCGACACAAACAAAAGTGTCATATTACGCATGACTCAGCTTAACTGAGTTCATGGGACTTTGTACCGATCGGGTGTGCACTTTGCATTACTCTCTATTTTGTCAACCAACAACTCTCACTCTCTTTCGATCTATAACTGTTGCATTAGTGTTGATTAATTAATTAATTAAAAAAAATATTATTGGCTTTGTTTTGGGCAAAAAGGTCGAACATTAGAGCTAGGTTGAAAATTGGTTCACTTATCCTAGATAAGAATAAAACTCATGAATAATATTCACCTGATCAAAGACATTTTCCGGACTACTATCCCTACTATCATGGTGAGATGAATGTGACGATGCTCTGCTTATATCAATTCTTGGTGTTGAAGGAGCGAGTGCGCTTGTACTGCCAATCGCACTCGAAGGATAGTGGTGGTTTGATGACTCACATTCTTTGGCACTATACCGACAAGATGTGTGATTCTGGCCTGTAGCTTCCATCTACAAAAAAAGAGAATAATGTTTTTTAACTCAGATAAAAAAAAAAAGTTTTTTATGTCTTGTAAAAAATTGATGGACACCTATGGTAACACATTCTAGATGAAGTCAATTTAAGAAACATTGTCGAAAACGAAAGTTTTTTTATCTTTCAAGCAGACGAAGTTATAGGGTGAAAATGGAGTACAAAGATATAAGTGCTTTTAGAATGCATTTTTGCATGTTTTGTTGTTACATCCAGAGCTTTGAGTGTGTTTCTTTATTTCGGTGTTTCCGGTCCGTTATAAATGCTTATCTTTGGACAGATACGCGTATTTCCTCTACTACTTGCAGGCTCATAAAAGGATTCCGTTAAGAGGTTCGACAAATGTAAAAATTGATTTACGTTCGTTTTTATAATGTTTTAACACTCTCTTAAAGGGGGTGTATCTTGCAGGTTAGCAAGCATTAGTAACTCAGTGCTCACTCGGCTCTCGACTGAAGCAGAACACTCTCAATGTGTGTCACGCGATCGTCTGTTTACTCGGCAGCAACCATTATGTGGTCCTCCTCATTGTTCTTCATCAGCAGTTCTTTCAGTCGATGCGTCGTCGACTTTGGAAAACAACCGTTTCATGATGAATGTGTGAGTACTGACCACGTTTTGCGTCCATTGCTGCAATGGAAGCGCTCTGACCCTCGTTGGCGAATCTGCCATAGAATGAAACCACTGGAAGCGGCTCCCGTTCTGGTGAAGGAGGCTTATTGGACAGCGGAAGATAAAATGTTTATTGTGTTGTACCTTCTGACTATAGTTTTAAGATGTATTTTATAGCGAACTAGAATCCTCGGCTCTGTAAAGTTAATTCGGTTGAGCCTTATCAAATCAATTAATAATAATAAAAAAAGGAATAGCAGCTAATCTCAATGTCATATACAATTCAAATCGGGATCCAAGGGGATGCCAAATGAAGTTCCACAATGTTTTGATAAGTTTTGCTGTTTTCATGACCATTTTTTTTTCATTTTTTTTTTCATCCCAAAAATTAAGGAACATTCTAGAAGCCTTCAACAGAAGCTACACTAAATAGTTTCGTCGCAAATAGGCCCACTTTTATTGACTCGTTCTGCTGTGCCACGTAGCATATTTTGACGTACCGGTCACAACCCTGACCTTGGGTTCAGTGAGGGTTATAGCGCGTTCTGCATAGGTAATCATCTGATATTCCCCCTCCTCACCCCACGAGGCAGACGAGAGAGTAAGGAATGGATTTTAGTGGCAGGCCTTCGGATACTATCAAAACTTGCAGGGGTGACTCAACAGAATGGAGAAAAACGAAGAGAAAGCAACAATAAAGAAAAAGAAGAAGAAAAATTGACGCCAGTCAGTGAAAATAGAGGAATGAATGTGTTTGCAAGGAGCGAGATCACCAGTGTGGAACCTGGTGGCCACAGCTAGTTCGAGTAGCAGTAAGCTCCAAAGAGAGCAGAAAGAACTCCAAGGAGAGCTAATTCTTGTGCTAAGCCAGAGGTTCACACCGAAATCCAGTAGTAGCACACCCCAAAAAGACCTGGAGCTTGGGAAGACCAAAATGATGGAGGTCAGGAGGAGGATCAATGAACTTCATGACTTCGTGAAGGATAAGAGCAATAAAGGCAGTAAAGAAAATGGTGACGTGTATCAAATGAGCCGTGATTGCTGCCGAACGTGAACAGGATGCACTGAGGACGAGAGCCGAGACTTCCGAAAGGGCACTGATCGAGGCCAAGAAGACACCGAAGTGACCCCGAAATCCACGCTCGGAGAAGATAAAAAGGGAAACGCCAGGAGAGGAAGAGGAGTTGAAAAAACTCAAGAACGACAAGGAAGACAACATAAGGAAAAAATGAAGAAGAAGGAGAAACCTAGGCCTCGTTAGGAGCGAACGGCATGCAAACGGCGGTGATGCGGCTTTCGACAATTGCAGTGTCCAAGCTGTTGGAGACAGGCAAGGTCAAGGTTGGGTGGTCAGTGTGCTCGTTGGAAGCTCCTCTTCGGGCTACCAATCAACTGGAGCGATGCTTCAAGTGTATGAGTTTCGATCACCAGGCGTGAAACTACTATGGCCCAGGCAAAGCTAATCTGTGCAGGAAATGCGGAGTCACAGTGTGATATTGACAGAGGCTGTACGAAGCAACCGAGATGCATGCTCTGTACAAAACAGGACCAAAATGATCATACGGCGAAAGGCTTCAAATATCTAGCATACAAAAAGACGATGGCATGCCAACAGTAATGGAGGTAACCCAAATAAACCTCAATTATTGCGACACTACACAGCAATTGTTGGGGCAGTCAACAACAAAAACAAAGTGTAACGTTGAAGAAATTGCGGAACCGTATCGAGTCCTTCCCGATAACGGTAACTGGGTGTCAGATGGAGCTGGGATGGCTGCAATACAAGATATGTACAGGTACAAGCTACCAGAGATTGCGAGCTCATACGAAGGTTTCGTTATTGCCAAAATTAACGAAATCTTCATGGATGGATGGATGATCGAGCAGTTCCACGAGATGCTGGATGGACTTCATCGGAGGAGATTTCAATGCTTGGGCAGTGGAGTGGGGAAGCAGATGTTCCAATGCAAGAGGGCACAGTCTGCTGAAATATCAGGCAAAGCTGGAAGTTAGGCTGTCCAACGAAGGAACGACGTCACTTTCTGTAGTCCATCGCTGATGGTAAACATGAATTGGAGAGTGTGCGAAGGATATACCCGTAGCGACCATCAGGCGATCCGATATGGCATCGGCCAACGGAATACTGTGCCAGTACGGAGGACAAAAACTTGTATTCGGAAATGGAAGACGATGGCTTTCTATAAGGATCTTTGAAGCACTCCGTATGTACAGGGCCGCGTGGATCTGAACATGGACGAGCTGACAGAAACGTTAGTGAGAGCATGTGACACGACCATTCCGAGGAAAGTGGAGCCAGATAATATACGGCGTACAGTTTACTGGTGGAACGAGGCACTTAGCACCCTCCGCGCAACTGTCAATGAAGTAGTGCATTGGACGCGTTAATAATAGGTGAAAAATACTCTATGCTTGTTTTTTTTTTCTTTTTCGTTTCTGTTCACTTGCTGTAGACGTCCACATTGGCTTTTGAGTTCGTTATGTGATTGCGTGCAATTTTGTTTCGCGTCGTTGTGTACTCTGTTCCGCTTATCAACTCAAGTTGTATTTTTGAAAAGACATCTAGGATGGACTCTACTCAGGCAGGTAATTGAGAACATATTAACTTGAATCAAGCATGAGTTATGAACGGTGTTGTAAAAAATTCAAAAATACCTAGTTAAATTTGTTTTGTATCCGGGTGGATTTGGGCGATGTGAATCAGTAGAAGTTGATGCTATCTGTCTTTGCTTATCGTTGCCGCAAAAAAACCCCTGTCCCTAAAGGTCCAAGCGCAATGACACCGGAAGCGCAACGGCAACGGCAGCGGAAAAGTCCGATCTGAGTAAGCCAACTTGTCGAATTGAAAACTTGTTGGAACCAAATCGACTTCGGTTCGGCATCTTGATGTCATTTGGGACAACTGTCAAACTTGCCGTTTCCGTTCCGCTTCCGTCCACATTGCATTTGGGCCTTAACTGCCTCCCTCTAACTTTTTATTTGCTCCAAATTCAAAATAATAAATTACATTCCATTTTAACCTAGGTGCTCCAATTACTACAGTAACTTACCAGCCTTAATTGTTATGTTATATATCTATGTGTTTCTACATTGTTCCTGCCTTGGCAATTCAGTATTTTAAACAGGTTTTTTAAACCTGTATGTCAGTATAACAATTGAAATCTTAAAACTAAAAACTAAATCTTATCTAAGTATAAAGGAGGAAGATTGCAAGGATTTTTGCCTGAAATTATTAATTATTTTGTTGGACATTTGTTCTAAAGTCTCAACATTCGAAATTCTATGTAATTCGGTAGTACTGTACCAGGGAGGCCACTTCAAAATCATCTTCAGAACTTTGTTCTGAATCCTTTGAAGTGCTTTTTTTCTGGTAGTGCAACAACTAGACCATATTGGCACAGCGTAACCCAAGTAACCAAAAGTTCTGATAAAAGGCTATTTATGGCTTAAGCACCTTGGTTGAAGGTGGTCTATAGAATTCTAAGCAGCCTCATTTTAAGTCGTTATAAGAACTTGAAAGTTCCGGTACCATAATTGAAGAGCATTCTATGCAGCCTCTGGCGGAACTTGAACGGAACTTTTAGAAAATAAATTAAAAAAGGTTTTTGTCTTCTATACCAATTCTATATTCAGTTCGCACTTTTTTGAAAGTTATTTCTAAAGGCAGGTATTAATGTGTATTGATTTATCAGCATTAGTTGTAGTAGTAATGGAGCTGATGGAAGAATTAAACCCAGTCCTTCTGCGTGAGAGTCTCAGCACGAACCACTACGTCATCTGAAATATATTAAAGTGAGCTGTTGTCTAGCCTATTGTTGGAGTTTTCTAAGCCAGCTGACTGACTTGAATACGAAACACAACACCTTGATGAATTTAAATTGGTGTTTGCCCGCATGGTATTCCATCACACTTGTGGCGCAGTGGTTAGCAATCGTAGATCACATGCCGAATACACGAATCCAGGAAATAACATTAATTTATTTTTTTATTTTTGGATAGAATGTTGTATAAGTATAAGAATTATGATTTATTCGGGCCACTGATTATTTCATATTTACGTACATTAAATTTTGTTACAAAAAAAGATTTGGGCGGATTGCTTCATGTGGCTTGAAAGTTCGGTCGGAACTTTATTTGAACTTTATGGAACTTGAAAGTTCTGTCAGAACTTTATTTGAACTTTATGGAACTTGAATGTTCTGTCGGAACTTTATTTGAACTTTATGGAACTTGGAAGTGTTGAATGCGGAGCTTTTGGTTACTTGGGAAAGCATGGCCGGTCTAAAACTTGTTTAAATATTAGAAATTTATTCTTCAGGCAAAGTTTAGGTTTCCTGTTTATGAATCC